GCTTCCGCTGTAAGCTGTCAACGTTTCCGTGTAGGCTGTATCAACATCAAAATCGCGCCTATCGTCTGAGTGTAACCGCACCTCTGGACTCCGCACCAATCTTGAAGGCCTTCCTTCCCATTCATAAACCCGTGCTTCGGGGTGACTATCGACTGCCTAGGAAGTCGAGCAGAGTCTCAGACAGCTGTACAAACCCACAAAGGCGTCTATCTAGCATGCCAGCGCGAGTCGTAGATATTGCGATCATCAGGTCCAAAGTTCAAGTATCTGGCAAGGCTCATGTACATCCTCCCTCACAGAGCTCTCGCCTTCCAGTTCGGAAACAATACCAGCTGGTAAACCCAGCCGGCAGTATGTAAAAGCTTCTATCGCGCGCACCCATCATCTTTGGACCTTTTTCCAAATATTCAACAACATCAAACCCTTGGCTACGGAGCCTAACATCGATACCTATCCTGCCCTTCCCATTAGGTTCGGGCTGATGTCCACGGTTCAATATCTTGCCATTCGGTTTGCATTTGGTATCTGAATACCCTAGCGGTAGGTTTCTTCCGCTTGCCGAACAAAAGGTAAGGTGCACTGATGTGAGAGGTTCTCTTACACTGTCAAGTCTAAGTTCGGGTATGTCATCTTCGTTATATTGTGGGTTTGCCATATCTCCACTTCCACACACTTTCCTGTCTACACCTCGGCCTTCGATCTACCAGAAGGTTTCTTGCTCTTTCTCTTGAACATATTTCACAAGCCATTGCAACCAGCCATTACACTCTGGTACTGTCAGCTTGTTCAGGCATCTCGTTCACAACATGATCGAGCGGAACAGGTACAGTGCTAGTCAGGCTTTTCCTACGAACAATACTAAAAGAGATGGGATCCAAAAAAAGGCTTCTTCCGGACTCAACATTCTGGAACTACATACCACTAGCACAGGACCCGCAACGTGGGCACAGTGAATACCAACGGCCCGTAGCCACCACAATAGGCAACGTATATCCACGGCGAGACAGACAATACAATACGACTTTCTGATTGTAGTCAGCTCATCGACGCCGACTATCGGCCTTTACCGCCAGTTTGCCACCCTGATTCCCACGTCACCAAGGGTTTGAAGCGCGGGGTAGGACATATACATGAACCTTTGCTCACGTGTTGTCGCTCACCCAGGCTTCGAGACACCTCAGTCCGCGCCGTTACCGCTTATCTCAAGCGTCACTGAGACTTGTGGGTATATATATATACCTTCAACTTACCTCGACATAACTTTTCCTCAATCACAAAGGCTCTTGCGACCACAACATCAGAACTTCAAAAGCAAGACGTCGCTCTCTCACCCGGACATCCTCGCTTATACCGTTCAGCAAGTCAACTGCCTGCCCAACCAACGTTGACAATTGGAAGTCTGCGAAGAGTATTCTTATCTTCCGACGCAGTACCTTGCAGTGCCTTTGCAACTTGATCGGAATCCGTGTGGCCGTCCGATTTTCCGACACATCAATTGCTATCTTGAACCCGAACCGGATTACATCAACCAACTTTCAACTGCCGACTGATCGAGAGGAACGTGGTTGTGGTCGCTTTACGCCATCGCCATCTCAACTGCTTTGGGTCATCTGTGGTGCCTTAGCGTCCTACCTTGTGGCTCAACTGTACGCCGTCAGCCACCGCACCCGCGAACCTTTCTTCGTCCCAACCAAACAGGAGACGGCAAAGAAGACATATAGACTGCTACGGTTAGGAAGTTCAGAGTGAACATTCTTCCGGCGTCTCCCGTGCTTCCCGCCGTCTAGTCCTGTTTGCGAAGAGGAAGGGGTGTGTTGCTGCGGTCTTGGCTCAGCGTACGTTGAGCACGTCCGCCCTACTAGCCAGTTCGTCGCCTACGTAACTGGGCTGTCCGGGAGCTCGATAACGCTAGCGCCTCGTCTGCCTCGTCTGCCTCCCCTAAGTCCCTCCCACAGCTGGTCCGTCTTTACCGCACCACCTGTAAACACCGCCACCTACACATCTCCAAAAGGTACGTACCCCCAACAGCTTAGCAGCTGCTTCCCCTGCACCACTTCTTTCCTTCGCCCACTTCAGCAGCACCCTGGTAGCTTTGTTGTGGTGCTACAGCTTGCGTTGTTGACTCTCCTCCGCTCCCCGCCCCGCACACAACACGCCCGCTCTGGTGTACACATTGCGCCTTTGCTTGACCCCTTGCTAATTTCGACGCAGAGAGCGCTTTGGTTCTTGATCCATCGCTCCGACTTGCACGTAAGCTACTGGATATCATGTCTCGCTTCCACAACAACAAGCTAAACACGGTTAGCCTCTTTGACGAGGACCCAACCACACCCACTCATAAACCCTCTCGCAAGCGTGGTCATAACATGCCCGCTCCCGAGTGCCATTCCAAGAACCTTCTGCAGCACAACGGACCCATCGAGACTTATCGCGGTCCAGAGGTGGATAATTCGTACGTCAACTACGGTTTCGAGAGCGATATGCACCGTCGCGGTCAGTATCACGGTATGGGCGGCTATGTTGCCCCAGCTCAAGCTCCGATGAACAACGGTGGCTCTGTGAGTTATACCCCCACATATGACAGCGATTACGCCGAGAGCGATCGCGAGGACCACCCCCCATCCAAGATCCCAAAGATCAACAAGGATGGCGCGCCCCGCAAGCCACGCCAGCCTCGTCCCAAGCTGCTCAAATGGAGTGACAACGATTGGAAGAACGTAGTCCTCGGTATCGTCTGGGCCTGTGGTGAGACTGGCGTTCAAATCCCGTTCGACCAGGCTGGCCAGGTTGTTGGCGAGAGCTGTACTGCTGGCGCACTTCAGCAGGCCATCTTGAAGTTGCGCGGCAAACAGATCGCCGAGGGCTACCAGATTCCATCGTTGAGGATGGCGTGGACGCGCAAGAACAAGCGTTCATCTTCTTTGTCGTCCACTGCTAACACCAACTCTCAGCCAAACGCTGGTCAGGACCCACTGACTCCTTCCCGTCCGTCCTTGATCGTAAAGCTAAAGGTTCCAGTATCAAAATCTGTCGGCGTCAAGCATTCTCCAGGTTTCAACAAGGCCGGTGCTGATACTGTCCGCGAGGAGTCCAAGGAGAAGGTCCAAGTTCTCAACCAGGCACAAGACCAGAAGCCCGTCGTGGCTGATGACGACGTCTTCAACATTGACTCCCACCGTGCTCACAACAAGGACTCTGATGTAGACCATCTCCAGCCCGACGGTGATGCGTCCAAGGTTGGTCAGGGTTTCGGTGTCAGCGGTCACAAGTCCCCTGTCGCCCAACGCAGGCCTACCCTCTACCGCAACGACGCCCAGACCCACCTTGAGGTCAACAAGTTCGTGGACGATACTCAGATGTATGGCTCCGGTGCAAACTACCACGGTAGAGAGATGGAGTCTGTTGATCTTGACTCTTTCGAGCTTGTCGACGAGGACAACGAGGCTCTTCTTAGGCACCCACGTAGTGCGTTCATCCCCGAGATGTCCCCTCTGTCGGGCCATGCTTACGAGAGTCCTTATAGTTTCCAAGTGGAAGAGGGTCAAGATGTTAGTGGCCACTCGCCTGTGTGGCACGGGTCGGGACAGCGAGGAGCCCAAGGTTTCCATGGTTTGGCTTGCTTGCCGCAAGATGGGCTACCGCCGCTAGAGGCCGGTCATATCCCTGATTCGTTTCCTCACGACGTTTTCGCGAACTGCGGTTTCACTCAGGGTTCATACGTCGACGTACCCATGGCCGAGGCTTATGATGGCTATGGTTTCAACGCGGGACATTTCAGTTAAAAGCACCTCGCCTCGTCACCCGCCTTCACGCGAGTAATGGTTAAGTTTACACGGCTGTAAGAACAACTCATGTGCCTTATGATCGCTCTGCTAACCGTTGTTGCCAGTATGATGGACGGTTTTCTTATGATAGCACGATATTCACGGTTCACGGATTTTCATTTTGGCTGCTGGTTTTGCAGTCTGGATATGGTATGACACGACACGATTACATGAACACACTGGGTGTTTATCTTCTTCATGGGTCGATGTGGCTACTTGGCTTGAGACATCTACGTCGGCCTCGCTAGCACTTGGCATAGTCTTTGCACTACATGATTGATGGATAGGATACCCGCTTCACGGATGAAAAGTTTAGGTACTTGAGTAATGGAAACTTGAATACCTCTATGATGACCTCAATGATGCTGATGCTACTGCTACTGATCGCTATGACGTGATTGGCCAAGTGAGTGGCATAAATGCGCTTTGCTCCCTGATCTTCTACTTGGATGACTGCGAGAGTATCTTCGCGTGTCGCACTCATTACGCATTTTGCTAAGTACAATAGCCTTCGATATCCGAGAATCGTGTGACTCACCCAGTGGCTCAGGAGGGCAGGGCACGAGACGCGCAAACAAACGCGAAAAGTCACGGTGAACGTGACGCGTCAACAACAATAACAACGGGTGATGGTGACTGGGGATTTAGGCAACCGCGAAAAGACTTCTCCACGCGGACGAGGAATGACGCTCCAGGCAGGTATGTAGTGTTTGCATACTTTGATAGGTCTTCCGAGTGAGATATGAAGTGTTATGGCGAGCTGTTCGCCATGTGTGAATGGAATGTTCTTGTTTTAGCAACGAACAACTCCATCAATGACGCAAACCCCCTTCTCATCCATTCATAATCTTTCCTCTTCTTCCTTGCTTCACCTCCTAGACCTTCATTTCTACCCACTTGCTGGCTGACATTCTCAGGATCATCGCACGACATCACAGTAAAACCATGGACCTCATTGACACTGTGCTTTCTTAACCTCAACAACGAGTCGACTGTCTCATCATCTTCCACGAATTTACTAACTTCTGTCGCAACGTCCAACGCAAGGTTTATCGCATTCGAACAGCTTTGTTTCCCAAAGTTTCCAAAGGAGACAGCATGGACCCTAGGTTTTGGCCTGGCGGGATGGGCAGGGGTATGGGGGCCGGCATGGGGCGAGGTATGGGCGTGCCCGGCATGGCCATACCAAACATGCAACAACCATTCTACCCACCACAAGGATTCCAGCACCCGTATCAGCAGCAAGCCGAAGCCGAAGCACACGCATACGCATACGCACAAGCACAAGCCCAAGCCCAATTCCAAGCACATGCACAAGCCCAAGCCCAAGCCCAACAGCAGCAACAGCAACAACAACAGCAATCTTCCCCGCCCCCATTCGCAACCCCACCACCACCAAAAGACTCGAAATACCCCCGCTTCGTCAACCCCTTCCAGGACGAGAAGCCTCTAGGGTCTTACGGTAAGCGCGAGTACGTACCTGGGCAAGAGGCTATACGTATTCCAATTGGGCATCGGGGGGACGATCCGTGGACTAATTGGCATATGATGCAGGCAAGAAGAAAGTTGCAAGAGATGAGGAGGAGTTGGTGAGGTAGGAGGGGGAGGACGATGAAGTTGGGTCAGTAGATCAAGAAGTGTTGTCAAAGTAATGCAATAGCGAACAATTCATTCTTGGCCATTGCCAGGCTGAAAACATCAAATACGATGCAACATTACATCCTCCGTTCCTCCCTATCTATCATGCTTTCGCATATACCATCCCTCATCCATCCATACACCCTCTTTCTCTTATTCCCAGTCGTCCCCACATCCCCTCGTACTTCCCTCGCCTCAAGCCTAGGTCTCAATCTTGGGCACCGCGACAGCCTCATCGTGCTGCACACTCCTCTTCCTCTCCTGGTTCTGCGCCACCTCGCCCAGATTTATGTCGTGTCCACCCTTGGGATCGATCTCGGCGAACTGGACAGCCGGGCGGAACTCCTGCGACTTCCACGCTTTGCTGACGATGCCGTAGAGTTCGTCGACTTGTTCGAGACTGAGGCCCTTGGTTTCGTAGATCATGAACCAGCTGTGGGGGAAGACGAGTCAGCGTTTGTCACGTAGATGTTGGGGGTTGGGTAAGATTGTGTAATGAGAAAAAGGACTTACACAAAGGCGATGCAGACGAAACAGAATGAACCCCACACGAAGAAGACCTTAGATGCCAGGTTTGCGTGGTCTTCGTCGACCATGTACGGGGTTGAGTAGGCAATTGCCCAGTTGAGCAACCTGAAATATGGCGTTAGTCTTTTTTGATACCATGATCATGGTCTGTGAACATACCAGTTGGATGCTGTGGTCATGGAAAGACACTTGGCGCGTGCCTTCAACGGGTACAGCTCGCCGGTCACAACCCATGCGACTGGACCCCAGGAGCTGGCGAAGAAGAAGATGTAGATGCACACGAAAGCAATGGCGGCACGTTGAGCTGCGAGATCGGATGTGCCGGCTACCGTTCCTGTGATCGCGACGATATACTGACACACGCACATGCCTATCGCTCCGAGGAGAAGAAGGTTGCGTCGACCGAGGCGTTCAACCATGTAGAGGCCCGCTGAAAATCCGAAAGTCAGTACTTTTTTCGTTTGGCTGGAGCAGGAGTGGCTTACGGAAGGTAGACGCGACGTTGACGCAGTTGGTGATGACCTGGATGATGAAGGGGTCTTGGAAACCGGCGTTCTGGAAGTATTGGGTACCGTAATCTGGGCATGTTAGAGGGAGCCGCAAATTTGCGCCGTTGAGAGAACATACAAAAGATGAAGTTTACACCAGTGAGCTGTTGTAGCGACTGCAGCAAGCATCCAGTTATGAGACGCTTGCCTAGTGTTCCCTTGAAGCAGTCGGCGTATGTAGACTTGCCCAACGACATCTCATAAAGATGGTTGGCCTGGACCTCGTTCAGTTCCTCAACGATAGCTGGGTGATCGACCGGTAGACGGCGGAGCTTGCCGAGACTGTCGGCAGCCTTCTCGTATCGGTCCATCTTAATGAGATATCTCGGCGTCTCTGGCAAGAAGAAAAGTCTAGCGGAAGGTGAGCAGCTGCCATCATGTAGTTGACATCAATGCACTTACCCGCCGACAAGAATGATAGACCATAGGAATTGCACCGCAATTGGAATGCGGTACGATCCGGAGTCATTGCGGTCCTTAGTCGAATTGTTTACAATAGCCGCGAGCAGCAATCCAATCGTAATAGCAAGCTGGTAAGCTCCTACAATCGTTCCGCGAATCCATTTCGGCGCAGTCTCACTCTGGTACATGGGAACTGTCGTCTTGTTAGCTTTGCTGCAAGCGAGCCAGATGCCCCGCAGAGCCTCATCGATGCGGGGCGAGGGGCGTCAGCCAGCCCCACGATGCCGGGAAGCGGAGAACGACGACAAAAGAGCTGACTTACTCAGAGCTGAGATGAGACCAACACCGTAACCGGCGAAAAAACGACCGGCAATGAACAATGGTTGCGCTGTCGCGGCCGTCTGCAGAATGACACCGAGGTTGAAGACGACACCGGCAGAGACCATCAAACCGAGACGGCGGCCAAGTAGATCACCAAATGGCGCAGCCGTCAAAGCACCGAAGAAGGTACCAGCTGAGAGAATGGAGACGATCAAAGAGTCCTGCGCTGCTGTGATGCTGAGGTCTGGTTCGGTGGAGAATTCCTTCTTCCAGTAGTCCATGGCAATGATGCCAGAAATGGTACCTGTGTCATATCTAGGGAGATCAGAACGTGCGCGTGATACGACAATGAGGTGTAGGCTCACCCGAAGAGAACACCACCAAAGGCGACGAAGAGACCGATTACAATGGCAGGCCTTGGAAAGAGTTAGGGTTGTGCATGGTATTGTGTCCAGTGAAGCTTACCATGCCTTACCAGCTGTGTCTGGCGGGGGCTTGAGCATGAAACCCATGATGGCAAAGTTCGATTTGACTTCTTAGAGATGGCAATTGGCGATGTCGCGAAACTCGAGACGCGTAGTCAGGCCGTTTAACGGAGCGCGCGGTCACTCTTTATCTCAGGATGCAAGCTCCGAGCATCTCTCCATCCAGCTCGCGATCCCGACAAACCCTTGTCCCATGCCGCTGCACCTCAGTGCCATATCACAAGTTGCTAATCCCAGTCGGTTTCCCAAGCCAACCATTCTTGCATGGTATGCCCCGCATCATAACATGGAGCGTACCGCAGTTGGTTATTACCCCGTACTCGGCAGGCTGACCTCCCTCACACCACTAACACTTACGTCGGAGGCTGGTGACAAGACAGCGATCATGAAGCCAGTCACGATCGCCCAGCGGCTGTTCGTCACGGGAGCGAACAAAGACTGTCGAAGTGGTGGCTCAATCAGACCATGTTGACGGGCAAAGCATCATGCCAATCTCCCCTTCCAGCACGATCGCGTGCCGGTGCAAAACCATCATGCAGGAAATACCGCACATTCTGCAGGCAAGGCAACGCGTTCTTCCAGAAGTTTGCCGCTCCAAATGATCGCGTCAACCGTTCGGCATGTCAGAAAAAGGATGGGCCGATTGACTCCTTGCATCCCCAGGAACTCCAGAGTGGAGACTCGTCGGTATGATTCTCGGAGCGCTGAACATTGGCAGAGAAATGTTTTCCCCGCGCAACACCAACATGACCGTTGCGAAGTCGAATGTGCTACACGTCGGATGCAGCGGCATGTTGTTTTGTCGTCCTTTGAGCAGGAGCCCTGGAATATGTGCTCGTGATAGTTGTTGTTCTCCTGTGTAGATGTTGTTGCACCATCCCTTAGCCAATAAGCCTTCGCTTCCTTTCGCTTCCCTTCGATGTTCAATGCTCGGCATTGCTTGGACCGACGCGATGACTCGGGGACGTGTGCTTACGGCGCAGCATCTGCATCGCGATGTCGATGATGAGTGGTCGACGGAGCGGTCATGCCTGACATGTGCCGTGCCGTCACCTCGGTCTTACTGCGACGATGAACGTCTCTCTTCCAGGCTGATTTTCGGGACGTGGAAGGATGGTTGAGGTTGATGAAATGTGGAGGTACTCCGGGGTAGCTGCGGAGTCTAACGGGCGCGCTGGCGGCGCTGTACGTCAGAGGCATCGACGCATCGCTAGAAGCCACGAAGACGTTTTTCGCGCATCGAAGCTCGATCGCGCAGGTACAAAGTTTGCAATCGAGGCTGCAGAGGGTTTCATGACCATTGACCAGGTCCCGGGATTTGGATCTCAGTGGGCAAACTCGTCTTACCGGATCCTGGGAAGTAGCCCGCTCGTGTGTTTAGCAAGATTGGTTGGGCATCTCCACCAGGGTGCGACGATCGTAACGATCTGCTGAAAACAGTGGTGACATGTCCACCTAACAAGCTTCTTTGGCAGTAGCCAATTTCGAGCCAGGCATCACGAGTAATGGCAGAAAGCTGGTTGAAATATAGCGATGCAAAGTTTTCCTCGTGCAACAAGCAGGAGCTGCCACGCACGTGGGCTTGTTGTCAAAAGGTCGAGATGAAAGTCGCGACCGGCGCAAAATCTTTTGCCGAGAATAATGAAATGCAAGAGCGATCCAGCCTCATTAACAAAATATCAAACCACCACACATCGACACGAAAGCCGGCTCGGCGACAACAAAACTTTTCCGAGCATGCATTGGTATCTACTGAGGGCCCGAAATCCTGCTTTTGTGCTTCCTGCCTTCAAGAACCCACTATGCCTTATTCTTATCACCACTCTTTCTCCGCGCCTTCTTAGACTCAACCTTGGTCTCCTTCGCGCTGACGCCGTTGGGAGTAGACGCGACTTCGATACCGCCGCCCTTCTTCTCTTTTCTGCCTGCCTTCTCCTTTGCGCTAACGTCGCCGTTCTTGACCTTCGCTGTCTCCTTGGGCGACTCCTTGGTCGCCTCCTTAGCGGTCTTCTTGGGCGACTCCTTAGCGGTCTCCTTTGCTACTTCCTTGGCAGTGCCATTCGTAGCCTTCTCGCCCTTCGGCACGACAGCCCTAGGGTCCTTGCCCTTCCTGCGCATCGTCTTAACCTTGGCCTTCTCCATGTACTTCTCGTCCTCATCCTCGTCGAAGCCACCAAAGTCTGATTCATCGTCGCTGTCCGCTTCGATGGGCCGACGATCGACGATCTCGAGTCCGGTGGCTGGGGCGTTGGGGTTGGCGGTATTCTTTGCCTTTGCAACTGAGGATTCGTTGACGCCAACGGCGTTGGGTGGGGTAGGCGCGATCTTCTTGAACTTGGCGACGAAGAAACCGTCGACGTTGTAGGTGTGGGGGTAGTATCTCCTTGTCATCTTCATCGAGGGGTGGAAGGCTTTGCCGCCAATGTTGGTGAAACCCTCCTTACCGAAGGTGAGGCCAGTCTCTACGAGCTTGACGTTCGGTCGCTTGTTTAATGCGTACTGAACGACTTGCTCGTTCTCTTCGAGGGTCACTGAACAGGTACTGTAGACGATGTATCCTCCCGTCTTTGAGTGGTGGTTGACAGAGTCGATAGCGGCGAGCAACAACTGCTTCTGGAGATGGGGTAGCTTCATGAAGTCTGCCTCAGTCTTGTTGGTCTTGACACTGGCATCCTT